AATTGCTCTCCACTCCACTTAAAGAAATGCCAGAGGCCCTATAATGGCAGAGCCCTTTATGATTTGGTCCCCAAATAGTTTCCTGACCCCCGTTTCTTATTATTCTTCCCATAGCACTTGTATCTTCTAAATATTATAAAGCCCATTTATATCTATTGTCTCTCTCCTTGCCAGAACATTAGCTCTACTGTATCCCAAATGTCTCTAGAATAGTTCCTGGCCTCTAATAGAAGTTCATTAAATGTTTGTTCAATGAATATAAAATTACATTATTTTATTAATATTTAAGCATAACAAAAACAGAAACATAACAAAGTTATCACATAAAATTATATATTAGCATTTAAATACAACATGGAAAAATGCAAAATGGGAAACACAGAACCCAAAACCAGGTGAGATTAATTCAATGTGATGGGTGTGCTTGCTTGTTCATTCCAGTCTGGAACACAGGACAATGCTACCCGCATATATGCTGCACCATTCAATCCATTTCTTTTCTTCATTTTTAACTGGGTTAAGACTGAAAACTCTAGTTCACATAAACTAGTTGTTGTGAATGGTAATAATAGTAGGGTACTCTTTCTACTGGGCACAGGAAAGTCTTCCTTTATTTTAATCCAAAATACTGATAAACTTAATGTTTCATAGTCATTCTTCAATGTATATGAGGAGCTGAGCTGCATTAATTCACTCTCTTCTTCAGGCAGTAAGTTTAACTCAACTATTGATTCTGGGTTTCGAAAAGCAAATGGATCTTTTACCCAACAGTTTTCTCTTAATGTTTCAAGTTTCTCTTCTGGAAATAAACGATTAAAAGTTTGAGATAAAGAGGCGAGATGTAACAATATTTCTAATTTTATTTCTTTAAAGTTGGTTTCATTAATAATATCCTTTTCAATATGTTGCCAAAATCTTGGAAACATGTAGTAGCTAGGCCGGTTGCTTTTAAGACTTGCTTGCCATAACAATAATGTCTTTTGGAATCCTTGGATACCTTGAACATGTTGGGATATATCACTGTTTTTCCCCTGTAGTTTTAAACTTAGTTCATTAAGAATGCCAAGAATATCAGTAAAAATTTGCCAATTTCATTACCCAAATGGCATCTTCAAAAATATTTGCCAAATAAGATTTTTTTTTCAATGAGAAAAATGAGAATCTCATTCCTGAGTTTTTAAACCCTGCTTAGTACTTCCCCTTGAGACAACCACCAAACTTCGGTGTGATACAGTAAGTGGGTATGATTAGTTCAATCTCTGAACAAAATGTTTCAAGAAGTTGGCTATTTAGTGAGCTTCCTTTAATGAAATTAACAACTTTCACTGCACTTTCAATACTTCCATGAGATTCTGTGGAATTTCTCTGGATGCCAAAGCTTCACGGCGTATAAAACAATGATTCCACACAGCACCATTATCAGTAACTTCTAGCAATTTTTTTTTATTTTTATTTTTTTTATTGATTAAGATATTACATATGTGTCCCTGTCCCCACATCACCCTCCACCCCCCTCCCCCCCGTTGTCCGTGTCCATTGGTTAGGCCTCTATGCCTGCATGTAAGTCCTTTAGTTGCTCTTTCCCCCTTACCGCCACCCTCCCCTACCCTCCCTCCAAAGCCCGACAGTCCAAT